AAAATATTTAATTCGTTATTTTAAAGTATTTTTGTGGTATTTGTGGATTATGATAATAGCAGTAATTAGTTAATATGAACTTTTGTAATGGGTTATAGGTATAATATGCCCCTCGACTAGGACGTTTTATCAAACATGCCCTTATTACTATTTTTTACTTCAAACATTTCCCTGTACTTTGTAAAAATGATCAAACATGCCCTTTTGTTTAAATTTTCATCCAAAAACCGTTAACCAAGGTCGAACTTTGATTTGGGCTGCACAAATGTCCAAAATATCCCTAATAATTTCACTTAAGAATTTTTTTTTTTTTGTTCTTTTGTATAGCCAAATAATTTAAATAATTTCACTTTGAAGAGACCCAGAGAAATAAAACGGGAGACAAAACTTACATTTTCGCTCCCATTTGCCGATGTCAGGTCGTCTAAATCTCGGTTCAACCATGATTGACGATTTTATCAATGGAAATCTTAACAGAAGGGCATGTTTGATAATTTTTTTCAAAGTACAGGGGCATGTTTGCTGTAAAAAATATTAGAGGGGCATGTTTGATAAAACGTCATAGTATATAGAGTGCCATATTATACCTATAACTCTTTTGTAATCAAGTCGTCATAGTTTTACTATTGTTTATATATTTATTTATATATTTTTTAAGAAATTTTTATACTTCTTATGGTCGGTTATGAATTGGAAGTTGGAAGGAACTATATGTCATTTAGAATTGGTATCAATTGAAGGAGTAGGGAGAATATTATGTGATGCACATTATATAAGCTAAAAAAATATAAAGAATAAAATTTTGGCAAAAGATACATAGGTAAACCATTTTGACAAATTCATGTATTTCTTGTTCATAACATTATAAAGGACAATTGATACCATTTTAAAATGAATCACATTCTCGAAATGACAATTGTTAGGGGAGTGCATTATTGAACATAATAAAAAAAAAGTGAGTGCACTGAATACACCAAAATATATATAAAATTAATTTATATAGTTTTATATTTAAGGTAAATTTTAAGTAAACTTTTTTTTTTTAATTTCACTCTAAGTTTCTAACGAAATGAAAAAGTCTTTAAATGTAAAATCATAAGGTTTTGATTTTTTTACATGAATGCTAGCTAATTGAATGGAAACTAGCTAGTGAAATTAATAGACCGGATTATATATTCTAAGAAGTGGGAAGAAGCTAGCAAATTTTGGTCCACAAAAAATTAAAAAGATTTTTCCTTTTTTGAAAACCAATGTAAAAAAGTAGATTACAATTGATTTTACTAATAAATTATTTTGGAGTCAAAATGTCCCAACATTAGCATACACTAGCGAATAACTTAAATTAAAATTTGGATTGTCAATAATTTGATGGTTGGGGAAATATGTTGTAAAACTAATAGAGAGTATAGAGAGTATTAGATAATTGTACATTAATCCATTTCTAACAATGTTGAACTATTATTTGAAATAACATATTAACTTTATTCCAAAGTTTATCGGGCCAACCAGATTATGGATCAATGGGGATTGAGTTAATCGGGTTGTGGGTTAGTCGAATTAAGGGTTCAATCTAGTTTGGGGTCAACCGATACACACCCCTAGCTTGATCCATGCTTTTAAGTTTTAACCTCCTTCGGAATTATTATTACATAAATCATGTTGATGGGTCCGTGTGAAATCTAATACACGGACTTAATTTATTTTGATTCTCTTACTTCTATAAATTTAGTGAGGTGTAATTCTGATAATTTCAAGCTACATTTTTATCATATAGATTTCATCTGTACTTCCTTCCGGGTTGAAGCATGGATCAGCAATAAAGACCTCATGCCGCAGCGAAGCAAGGCACATATCGACCTAGTTCTTCATGAATTTCAAAACTATTTTATAGCACAATCCTCCATCAAATATATTATGGGGTCGTTTGGATGAAGGTTTTGTTAAATGAGGGATTTAAGCACAAATAACTCATTTAAAAACCCAGGAAATTAAAACACAGAAATTGGGACAAATCTCTTGTTTGTTATGGATCCAGAATTGTACAATTGGAGAATTTATTTTCTAATAATAAATTGAAAAATACTATTTTGCCCTGCATCTTCTTCTTCCACCATTCTGCGTTGTCTTCTTCCTTCATTGATAGACGACTACGGCTCCCTATCTTCCCAGTATGAACCCCAATCACATGGGCTGGATCGCTAGGGTTCCAACTTTGGAGGACATTAAAAGGGTCAACGAAGCTGCTCTTCAAGTTTCCACTTCCAATTTGGGCCGTCGTTAGTGTTGAGCGCCGCCAAGTTGGAATCAATGGGTGGAGTTTTCTTGCAATATCGTCGGAGACAGAGAGCCGCCGGTGTTCTCGCTGGAGATCGAGACCCAGTGACCCACCATATATGGGTTCGGGAGAATCGTCTATGCAGTGCGAACCCCTCATGAATGGAAGCGGCCACTATCGAGCGATGGAGGAATGGCGGTAGATCTGGAATCCGGAAGATCCATGACCGTCGCCGGTAGTGTTTTGATTGTCGCCAGTTTGAAACCATCGTCGTGTTCATTTACAGGGAAGAGTGAGACATAGATGGGGACAGGGGAAGTCTGGGGAAGAGGTAGAAGTTTGAACCAAATAAAGCGGTGATACAAAATTGGAAGGGATAATTTTGGAACAAAAAATGAGATGATGAGTGATTTCAAAATAGCTGGGCCTCATCAGTTATTTTAAAATCCTGCTAATGAGCTATTTTAAAATCGGGCAGCTTTAAAATCACTCATTTTTTCTTTCATTACCAAACGAGTGATTGTATTAAAATCCTGCAGAATTAGGGATTGTGTTAAAATCCCTCATTCAAATCCCTTATCCAAACGACCTCTATAGAGTTTCTCAAAAAGGCCTTCTCCATTTCAAATTCTCCACGATATCATGAGGCCACGTCAACAAAATTTTTTTCATCCGCCTCCTTTTTTCTCGGATGATCAACCTGTTTGTAACCGCTTCATAATTCTATTTCGTTTTTTAAATTAACTTATTCGTTAATGTGAGGAGAGAATAAAGGGAGAGATTCAACAACAACAAAAAAAAAAATTTAGAATAAAGGGAGAGGAAAGAGAAAAAGAGCCGTGAGAGGAAAAAAATCAGTTAGTAGTTTTAGTGAAATTAAAATTTTAAATTGTTAATAATTCTATTTAGTTTTTAAACTAACTTATTTGTTTATGTGAAGAGATAAGTAAGTGAGAAGAAAGAGATGCGTGAGAGAGGAGAAAGAGGGATAGAGAGAAAATCTGTTAGTATTTTAAGTGTGAAATTTAAATTTAAATTGACTTCATTTTTAAATTTCATAACTATCTCTAAATAACATATATCGTTTGATATAGAGATTACAGAGGTTAGTAATAGTATGTTGCTAACCCTCATTCCCATTAGTCTTCTCTTTTCTACTTTCAAGTAAAAAAATATGAACATATAATATGAACACTTAAATGTGTCCCAACACTCCTAAAATTGCTATGAATTAAAATGATTATCAAGCCATCGTTTGGAGTTTTCTCAAACCATAATATAGGGTAGGTGTTCCAATTATTTATAAATTGAGGGGAGAAGTAGAAAATTTGTGAAATACAAAAATATCGACTAAAAATCTTCGCATATAATTGAGAAACTATAGAAAGTTTAGGTCATTCTTAATACTAATAATTGGTTGATAGAGGAGGCTTATGAGAAAGGCCACAAGCAAATGATGCAATTAATGCTTAACTTCGTGAATAACTATTTGAAAATAGGTAAAGAACCATGCCGTCCTTGAACGTTAGATAAAATTTTAAAAAATAATTGTTACACGTACTAATTAATATAAAAATATGAAACACTTTGCTGGCATACAATGTACAATAGTTCAGGCTACAAAATTCTAACATGAAAGTGGACAACTAACTTGATTTAGAGGTCTTTAACCACGTGAAAGTTTTAGTTTCGAATCCATTTAATAACAGGTAAAATAACTAATATATATATATATTACTTATTGAGTTTTCCTAATAATGATCAAAAGAAGATTACTTTAAATTTTAATAAATGTTTTATGGAAAAAGAAATTAAAAAATCCCGGCCATAGGCCGGGTAAGAAGCTAGTATTATGAGAACGTTTTCAGAGCACAACCAAATATTAGAGTGTGATCTCCATCCGCTGAAGTAGAGTAGAGGGAGGGAGAAGCAAAGGATGAGCCGCACAATTTATAGCTAGACACATCCTCACATTATATAACCGAAATTGCAAATGTGAAAAACAGAAGTTCTAAGGGTTCTGATTTCCAACGGGCAAAGGCCACAGATTCCTACTCATATACTTACCATCGCAGCGATTAATATATAAAAACTCTGCTTCTTTAGAAACACGCTTGTAGCTCAACGCCTCCCTCGTAAATTTCGTAACCTTTTTAGAGCTCAAATCACGTGCAGCTGTAATGTGAACCAGTCGAAGCAGAGGGGCAGTGGCTAGGACGAACCTCACGAGGTCCAGCTCAACCTGTCTACCACAGCTATCCTCAATTCTGAACTCTCTAAGATGTTGAAGGCAATTAGAAGATCCAGAGCAGCCCTCTGCTTCCAATAACCTCCGTAGATTGCTGACTGCATTCTTTCTCTCGTCACGATACAGCTAAAAGAACATTTGTGAAGGAACCAAAGTTTAGATACAAAAAATTTATACACCTGACAGATCCTGCAAACAGAAAGCTCAATTCGCAAACACAACGAACCTCAAGTTTGAGCCTACGCAGGTTTGGCGAACTCATGATCAAACAAACAAAACCATGCTCCCAGTCCAGACTATAGTCAAAGTCGATAATTTCGAGGACTTGTAACTGGTGAAGAGGAGAAGGAAGCCCGGAGGGGACATTTCTATGACCACCTGCAGTAAGGTGCTGAGAAAAACCAAGCACAATGCACAGCGTGAGTGAGTGAGTAAAGCAACCCAGAAGCAAAATTGGTTGTGAAAAAGGTAACTTACTTGCAGGAATCCATCGTGTGTCCCAAACTTTTGGATTGCTGGAATAGAAGCAAAAAGAGTTGCTATGTCATGCGTGTCGGTATCATGGAAAAAAAGTTCGACAGATGACAAAAGGGGAGTATCCTTGAAGCAGATACCCTTGACCTTGAGGGACCACGTCTTCACTAACTCTAAGGATTTGAGTGATGGAGACGCGATTTCAAGGTTATCAGGAGTACCCTCCCAATCTACAACACTCAAATATTCAAGCATTGGGCACTTGGCAAGGAAATTGTGGAAGAAATCATGGGGCAAAGCAGATTCAACTATTTGAAGACGGGTAAGCTTACTGAACCCGTTAAACCAAAGTGGTGGTGTAAATTGACAATTCCGAAATTCCAGGGATTTCAGGTGAAGTGCAGAAAACAGACTAGAATGCATCGGATAATCATAATGCCCAGTGTCAAGAATCCGGAACCAGAGGGTCAACTCTTGGACAGCTTTCTTAGAAAGGTAAAGAACGATGAGGTCCATCTCACCCTCGCGGGGCACTAATCCATCGATTGACAACACAAAGTTGGTTATTACCACATTTTTAATACGAATCTTGTTTTAAATTGATACACATGATACTAGTACACAGGGGTACAATCCTTGCATGATATACACCACAACCACTATATATCTACAAACTCTGGACTGTAAAACCTCCTATGTACCATCATAGACTAACTAATTAGGGGCAATAAAGAGTCAAAACCAACTGCGCAAGTGATAAAAACCAGAAAAACTCGTCCATTTACTGAAAAGCAAGGCTGGAAATAGCAAAACAAAGCAGGAAATCAATTCTGAGTCCGAAGAAAGCTCCAATACCATAACTTGGGAGAAAGAAGTAGATGTACCTTGTGGAAGATAGGAAGTTCTTCCGTCTGTCCTTTTGAATGCAGTACAGAAACGGAATATCCTAACGTTGTTGGGATATTATGCTTGATATAGATGACGTTACGCCTACCTACTGCGAAAAATTACTAATACACAAAACATATAACTAGTTTCATTCGTCGTCCATGATGTAATTGGTACTGAGAAGTATATATAGAGAGTAAATACTTTACCGTCTACAACTAGGAAACAGAATACCAATAAGGAATAATAACAATGCGGACAATTATAATCCTAAACTATCTAAGATGAATAATAATAATCATGGAAATAAAACTTAAAAAAAGGGTGCCGCTAAAACGGGGAACAGGTGCTTGGCGCCAAGATGATACCCATTGTAAAATCACGGAAATAAAACTTAAAATAGAAAAGATGAAATTGGCGAAAAGCATTCACTGATCAGAGACTAACAGCTATTGTGTCATATCTAAAATGTCTGAATTCGGAAAACAACGTCATAGTTGATAACATTCAACTCACTATGTCAAGCCCGCGTCTTCATTTGTCTTTCTCTTGTGTTGAGAGTTTCTCATCTCTATATGGATACTCTGGTGCTGCAGACCACAGTCCCCACAGGATTACCAAATGGAGAAACAAAAGCAGAGCCGACGAAACAACTGTTGATGGATAGATATTCCAGCAAAGCTCTGCGCCTGTAAACAACATCAAACTGCACCAAAAACACCTGTGAATTGTCAAGAGTTGGAAGTAACAATGCTATCTAAGATCTTTCAAAATTTGACGGAGTGCATGACCCACCGTACTAGTGTGGGAAACCGCGTCGTCCATAGTAGATGAGGAACACTGAAGAAGTACCTGTGACCAATGATGCATAACAAGTTAATTGCAGGACTGAAGTTTACGCTGTGAAGAGCACATAAGGCGATTATTTCACAGGATTCGTCTGAATGCACGGTAGAAAAGTACACATTTCAATCTAAGGCAAGAACGCAATTGAGTTGACATTTTCAGCTAATTTTTCTTGTATCACAATTGTTTATGGACTCCTGAAAGTGTGCTTACCAAGAGTAGAATTGATAATGTAAGGAGCGAGCGCATACAATGCCAATGAAGTTGCCAACAAACATAGTTGTGACAATATCTGCAAAGATTCAGCAAAAGTTTCAAAAAAATGCAAAAGAATGCTTCGGGAGATGAAGTTATTAGTTAACAATTTTTCGGTGTTCATTGCAAACCAAAATATTCAGACTTACGCTCTGCCTTTATCTTCATTGAGGAACTCTTAGTACCAGAAAAAGACAACACTCTGGAACGCAGCAACCTCAGCAGTCCACCTTCAAACCTACAAGTGCATGAAAAAAAAAATGAATCACACCCCAATATAAATTGCATTCTCCAGTTTCTAACTTTCTATTGCAAAGGGTTGTCACTTGTCAGGAAGAATAACGAAACAATTTCGCATTTGTCAACACCCTCCAACTACCCCCAGTTGAAAAATGTATGGATCATTTGTGAATCAACAATCAAGCACACATCTTTTCAACCAAGAAAATTTGGGACTCTAGATATTCCATTTATTAGGTCCATGAATAAACTACGAAACAGAAACTAATACGAGACCTAGTAATAAGTATTCGTTCGAAAACTGTGTACACAGATAATAATAATAACAATAATAATGAAGTAAGAAGCGAAAAGGTCTGACACCTACTTGCACCAGCGGTAGTGAGCAAAAACTGCGAGCAATACAAGGTGAACAATCAACAAAGAGATTGCCAATTGCTTTGACACAAAGATCGGTTCAGGAATGAATTTGAAGTTAACAGACCTGTTGCAAGAATGAAACAATGATTTCAATACAAGCCAACAAAAAATGCTCTTGGTGTATTGAATCATAAGTGAAAACATGAATTCTACGAATGCAAGTGTCTTTTTGTTTGTGTAGTCATAACTCATAACAATAAGCAGATAACTTTATGGAGAGCATGCTCTACTATAGAAGATTATGAACAAGGAAGTACCAGAAGTGGATAAAGACGCGCCCAAGGTTGAAGGCCCTTGATATATAAGCAGCTGGATGTGAAAGTAAAAACGGGAGCCCCAACAGAATCTGCAGAAAGGACCCCCCATTGTGGATCAAGAAAAAAATAAATCTGCATGCTAGGATAGTATGCTCCAGAACTAGGATGTAGCAGTAGCTCACTCACCCAAACAACAAACCATAACAATATATGTATTTTGTTTCAAACTGAAAATGCTTACGACTATTCTTAACTAGAAATAATGCTTAAAATAGAGAACAAATAGCAAAGTTATAACCTGTAAAAGTGCTGCTCCAGCTAAAGCAGATATCACTCCGCAGACATCCATTGACTGTAAAAGGAATCCAAAGACGAACAATTCTGAAATGATTGGTCAAAAATTCAGGAAGAAACTGAAAATGGGAACTTTAATTAGCATGAGGAGTAGTGCAAGAAAATTTTAAAAACACCGCCCACCTTTAACATAAGTAGAAGCAATGGAGGAGCATAAAGCAAAACATTCATCTTTACAGAAACAGCCCCACTGTATACAAATAAAGAGGACGTTTTGTTGAGTTAGGAAAAAAACTAAAATAAACAGAAATAAAAAACGTTAATGTACCACCTGAAAAGGATCAGTCCAAGATGCCACCGTTGGTAAAGAAGCAAGGCCATAGCAGCATGCAGCAGTGTCATTGCAAAGCAATCATTGAAGAGGCGAAGGACGAAGATAGAGTGCACCCTTTTCGATAGAGAAAGCAAGACAAGTGCCCACCAAGGGAGCTACAACAAATCACTTATACCATCAAACCTGAGATTCCATCAGGATGAAAGGCAGCATAAAACTGAAATCTCGACACCCAGAGAAAAGTCACTAACCACATCTGCCTTCACATAGATGAATAAGATGATAGCAAGGTTCACAATGTACAAGACACCAAACAGAATCTGCAAGGCATGGTACCAGAAACAGAAAGAAATTTATTCAACTTGGTAAACTAAGATAAGAGAAGTTTGTCGTGGGATAAGAGATGGAGGGGCATCAACGGAGCATGAAGGACTGTACCTGAGCGGCAAACACCTGCCCTCCAGTGACATACTGAATAGCAGAATAAACATAGAGGAACCCAGCAGGGTAAACTAGTGGCCCTGTGTCGCCTTCCAATTTGCTGTAATCCTTCTCTCCTTCAAGAAACCCGGTCACCTGCTTGTTTGTTCATTAAGCGGACTAAGCATCAATCAAGTTTGTTCAAACTTTAAACTAAAAGGTTCTATGTTTAGTCTTTGTTCGCATCCTTTTCAACTTATAACTGACGAAAGGTTTCAACTTTTTGCTGATCAACACAACGGAAGAAACTCTGTTACAATTTTTAGGTGGGAGACACATACCTGTGACATGTATGCATCCCAGTCAATCTTCGTATCTAGTATTGAGAAAATCAATCAGACATTTAGACTTGAACTCATATCAGTAGCAAACATAAGGATTGGAAATATTGGTTTGAGCATCATGTGAATCCTACAAGGAACATAGGCGATGATGACCGCAGTGAGCACAGCATCAAAGAGAAGCAAACCAAGGGCAACGATGACTTTGGGATTCTTGAATAATATGACAGTAGAAGATCTAGCTTCTGATAAGGGCTTGATTTCCCTCATTGAGGGAACCACCAATTTGTGGGGACTTCTATTGGCTAGTGGCTCAACAAACCAAGACTCAGAACAGCCACAACGGACAGTCACCAAAAATCCATTGTCTTTACCCCTTTTCTAGGTCCACTCCACAGTCTTTCAAAGATCTGGATCGGGATCTACAAAACAATATCAGAAAGAGATTATCCCCGTATATTGACATTCAAAGCTTAAGTTAGTATCTGCTTCACATAAAGAAACCAGATGTAGTTCAAACAGTTTTATAGAGGGTCATAGGAGAGCTTATACGGGGAAACACTCCAGTCCTATTTGTCGGAAAACTGTATTAGCCTACTGAGTTCCCGCACATAGCAGAGCAGTGAAAGCAGCCCGATCAACGAATAAGACACAACAAAAGGAACTAAGTGGAAATCCAACAAAGCAATTCACGTAGAAGCAACCAGAATGAAGCAGAAGTTTCTCTAGTGATTAAGCCATCCATGAACTTTTATGATCGGTGCTATTCTGTAAAACATAACAATTAAAAAAAATTCTATTTCAAACTTTTCTAACATGAAGATTCTTTTTAAATCACCCTCCATCTTGAAAGATATTCTGAGAATCTCATTCCATGGTGAATTGGGAAACCAAACTAACAAAAATGCATTGGTTTGCGGCTACCTTGAAGAATACTAAATGAATGCTTAACACAACAGAAATTTACAACCCTCCAATGTAAAATGGCACACCTCCCAGAAACGGAACTTATCATAATTATGAAATTTGGAACATTGGCAAGTCAATTAGAAACACTCATACCCTAGAAACAGAGTAAACAGGGGATGGGAGAGGCGGCAGTACTTGGAATCGAAAACCTAGAATTGTTCATTGTGCAAGAAATGGAGAGGGCTGAAGACCAGAAACGCAAGAAAGCAACACTTGCCAAATATCTGCAGCCGCAGCAGAAAGCGGCAGCGGCGAAGTCCGTCGAAAGCTCACAGCTTCGTCACTGATCGCGGGAAAGCAAACTTGATCGTGGCACCAGACTTAGAGGGGAAAACGAAATTTTAGCCGCAAGAAGAAACGTCGCCTAAAAGATAATTACCCAGATCACGGACCAGCTGCTGAACCCAGAGTAAAAGAGCGATTGAACAAAGGCGCTAAAGGGCAGAAAACGAATGGGCGAACAAGCAAAATTAGAGAATTGAAGCTCAACTTGATCGGCGCTCTTTGCTTTGGAGTGAAAGTAGAAGGGCGGGGAAGTGTTTCCTTCGGAGATACACGCGGCCCCGTGTGAATTCCCGCCGTTCCGGCCGCCACTTCCCTGCCGTCTGTGGATCTGAATCTACTGAGCAGCCGTCCGTCATTTGGACGAACTCCCTATTTCATTCGACATTTCGACTACACCTATATCAGGATAACTAATGGATCGAACCCGCGACCTTGTTAGTTTATTTCTTATTCAGTTATTTGTCTTCCATCTTCATTAGGTAGCCGTTAGGTTTGTTCTGCGTTCTTCCCATGGAACTTAGGGGTCGTTTGGAAGTTGCGTATGTTAAATCGTTGTATTGTTACGAATCACTATGATATAAATGCATGCATTGATACAATAGATGCATTTTGAAATTACATTGTTTGGTTGTTGAGATTATAATTTATGAATTGATTGTTATAAAGTTACTTTATAAGGAAATGCCATATTTGTCCTCCACTTTTAATATAAAACAAAAAGAACTATGGACATTATTGGAAAAGGTAGAGGTGCTCAATTATTAAACCAACAATCACAACAATCTCAACTTTTAGTTGAGATTGTACATTCCCTCATTTTTGTTGATTGTTGGTGGGACCCACACAAAACAATACATGCATTGTTTTGCAACTTGACACTTCCAAACGTTGCATTATAGACAATGCATGTATTTAACAAATACAACACTAACAATCGCAACTTCCAAACGACCTCTTAGATTCCTCCATTTCTTTCGTTATTGGTTCAGAAAGCTCACATAGCAATGAGATGGTGGTTATGCAGTTATTGGTTCAGAAAGCTCACATAGCAATGAGTCATAAAAATCCACTTTGTGCACAACACATGTATTCACCTTTCTAATTAACCTAATTAGGAGTAGATTGCTAATTTTGTTGAGCATTAGGAGGCTAGTTGTAGATTGCATCAACTATTCTTCAAAGTATTGGTGCTTTCGGGTATAAATTCAACATATAAAATAATGTTAAAGGTATAAGTTCAATTTGTACGAAAATATATAGGTACACATTAAAGTTGTAACAAAACATTAAAGATACAAATTTAGTTTTTATTACACATAAATTTATAGGAAAAAAAAATAAAGGTGGAAACTAAATTTTTACTATCAACGTTTAAGATGCAAGTTCAATATTATACGGTATATGAATCTTTACGAAAATATATAATTTTAAAGGTAGAGACTAGAGATTCAACTTATATCATAAAAGTTTATTTTTAGTGGAAGCAGTCTTAATATAAAATTTATCCTAATTGTAAGCTTCTTCTTTTTTCTCAAAAATACCTGGCTAGTTGGGTGATTGGGTGATTAGTGATTTCTGATTACAAAATATGAAAATACCTTCCGGCATCTAGCTGGTCCGCGTGGTTCACGCGGTGCCCGAGAATAAAAACGAAAAGAAAAACATGCTGTCTCAAATTAAATATAGTAAAATACTGAAGCCATGTTTAAGGCCTGCTACGGGTGTAGAGTCATTAATTAGTGACGGATCCTGAGTAATTGCCATAGCGGCACAATACATGTCTAAATCCAGAGTAGTGGAGATCGAGAAGTGAGCATACTCATAATGATGGATTTTTTTTTAATCGATAACTTATGGGGAGATTTGCTTGTTGAATCTTTGAAAAATGTGAGTTTTTATTAAATCCTAAATTTTGAGAATGACGAGACTCGAGAGATAGAAGATGGACGAGACGTTTTGATGAATGATGTGATTTGTAAAAAGCCTATCCGACAATAAAACTCGGAGAAGACTGTGTTGACGATACATGCAAAAACTCGTAACAACTGAAGAGTGGAGTGTGTGGGGCAGGAATTTGCTGCAGAGGAGAGGCCGGAGGATGTTGATAAGGTGGGGGTTTTATATTGTGACTCTTTAGGTTTGTCGGGAATTCGATCTCCATTTCGGTGCTGTTCACCCATTGATGTACTATGTCAATATCATTACTAATTACATGTACGTATACTTTCACGCACACGTGATTCGCTCGTTTTGTCGAGTAATTTTGTTTGCATTCGACACTACAAAAGGCACCACTTAAATCCCAGGACAACATACGGTTAGCCTGTCAGTGGAACATCTAAAAGGTTGTTATTCGATTCCGACAGCTGCCCTACAAAACCAAAACATTTCTTAGATTTTTTTTTTATTTTCTCGTACTTGAATTAAGTATCCCAACAATTTCATAATTATTGAATAGATAACTTGTAACAGTGGTTGAGTCATAAATCTGAACGAGGTTGGACCAATAAAAACAATAGTAATTGAACATGAGCTAAGATCTTATAAACTACTTTCTTTCTAAAATTTTCAAAATTAACCGATTACAACCTTCCTGACTTTCAATCTAGGTCAGCCACGGACTACCAAAACCGAATCTTCCTCCGCCACAGCATCATGGAAAACGTTTTCTTTTTAAATACCGAAATGAAATAGTTTGCTAACCCACACTCATAAAATGGGAGATAAAAATAGGAAGTCAATGACCCGAGACGGCAACTTCCGGCCGTTAAACGCTGATCAATGAGTAACGGAACGGAACGGAACGGCCCAAACAAAAATTACAAATTAACCGCGAACGGCCAGCGGGCCCCACCCCACCACACGCGCGCCACAGTTCAGTGCCAGTAGGTCAACACGCAGACAACGATTGCCGTTTTCACCTGCCTTTTTCCTCCCACTAGGGATGGCTATATGGTCCGGTCAGGTTAAATTGGCCCAAATTGATCTGATCCAGTCCGGTCTTTTCGAAAATATAAGGACCAAAGATTGGATTGGATACAGTCTGGTTTTGATCCGGTCCGGTCTTGACTCAGTCCGGTCCCAATTCGGTCTTGATTTTATATTGAGTTTGTGGGGATTTGAGTGGCCTAAGGCCTGAAAGGGTGAGGAGTTGGTTAAGTTTTGTACTAAGTGCAAAGGTTTGTTACCATTTATGCTAATTACCATTAAGTTTGAGTGTTGAGCTCTCTTATCCGGTCTTTTTCCAGTTTTTTATCCGGTCTCGGACGGTTTTTTACCTCAAATCTAAGCCCAAAGATTGAATTGGATTATTTACTATCTGGTTCCGATCCGGTCTCGATTCGAATTATACGATCCGATTTCGGAAAAAACCAAATAACCAGCCCTACCTCGCACCGCTAAGTTTATTATTCCATCTCCTAGAAGGATTCCTTCTTCCTTCCCCCACCGGTCACCACCCTATAAAACTCCAATATTCATCCCTTCACAATTCCTTGTAACCAATCAGGCAATCACCTAACCCTAACAATCCCTTTTCCCCTCTCTTCTCGCTCGCTCGCCGTCGCCTCCTCCTCCTCCTCCACCGCGTCCCCAGCCGCTCTTCCCTCTGTCGATCGGATCCCAATCTCTGGCGGCTTTTCTCGTTTCCGATTTAGGGATAAACTGCCGGGCTCCTGAGTTCGTTTTCCTCTTTTTTTTCTCCCGGTGTTGCCCATCTCGATCCACAACGACGACGCCAAGATCTCATCGTCGGTCATTGTGAATGGTGGAAATCTTAGGATTAGGTAATTACATGCTCTCCCTTTGCCAATCAAGGGCGGGCGTCGTATCTGCTGCCTCTGCTTTCGCTTTCGGCTCTTGCAAGGAAGGCTGGTACCACCGCTGCCAAGGCGTCGACCCCTGAGATCCCGCCGCCTGCTCCGCGCCGCCGCTCCTGGTGAATTGTATTCTATTCGTATTTTTCCTTGATTTGATTTTGAGAGGGGAGAACAAGAAGGAAGAAGAAGAAAAAAAAAGCACACAAAAAATTCTTTTGTTGTTAGGTTTCAATTTTTTTTTCTGGTTTCGATTTCGGATTCTGATTGTTCGAGAGAGAGAGCGAGAAGGAAGGGAAGAGGAAAGGAAAAAGGAAATTTTGGAAGGATGTTGCTACACAAGACGAAGAAGAATCAGGGCGGTGCCTCGAAAGGCAACCGGCTGCTGATCAGCGTGTCTGTTCTCGGCAGTGCCGGCCCAATTCGGTTCGTGGTCGGCGAGAAGGAGCTCGTCGCTGCTGTAATTGATACAGCGTTGAAGTCTTACGCGCGGGAGGGTCGGCTTCCGGTGCTCGGCTCCCATCTCAACGATTTCTTCCTCTACTGCCCCAGCGCTGGCTCTGGAGGTAAAGAGATTTTTCCCAATTCCACAAATTTGCATACTTTTTCATGTGCTAAGTTGCTGAATGATTGATAGGCTGTCGAGTTTTATCGTGATTGCTTTTGTGGGTTATGTTCTTGGTCTCTGTACTGATTGTGGGTTGTGGATTGAATTTTTGGTTGCAGCCCTGAGTCCATGGGAAACAATCGGGTCTATTGGTTGCAGAAACTTCATGCTGTGCAAGAAGACAGCTGGGATGAAGATGGACGATGAAGGTGGAAGATCACCTACAACTGCAGCAGTCGGGCAGAAGGGTAGCGGGAGCTGGAAGACATGGATCAACAAGTCTTTCAATCTCAAGATTTACTCCCACTGAGCCTCCCAAATCGATGAGTTATACTCTATACACTTTGTACCCTTTGTATGGTTTGGATTCCTAATTGCATGAACGCCAGATTGATGATATTGGCCATACTTGTTTTCCTCCATTTGAGCTTTTGTGATGGTTGGAGCTTACTCTGGTTGATAAAACCAGAGCAAGAGGACAACTCATGGAATAAAAATTGTTGTGTTATTCATTCGGCATTCGAAGTTTGTTTAATGAAACGAACAGTAATGTTTTCTGAGTTACTTACTATATTCGCTTCGTTTGAAACTTTGAATGAGTCGAACTCCGTATTTATTCTTCTTGCCAGTGGTTGATATCATAATATTGCACTGTATTGATGGGAATCTTCCGACGGCCTGTCAACCATTTAGTAGTGCTGTTTCAGCAGATTTTATTTGACTAGCATATAATAGCTAGATTTTAGAAAACAGCTGCAGACAGAAGTTTGATGTAGACTCGGTTGGTTGCAGTTGTTTTCTTCTGGAACCTGGACGAATCTCTTGCTTTGGAAGTAGAGTTAGGAAATTGAACCATAGCTCGTTGGTTTCTTAGGCAAAGAATATCAGGGTTTGCTGATGGAGCACAACTGCACAAGATTGGCTTAGAATGAACTTGAAATGTTCTTTTTGCTGAAAATATATATTGATAACATAATTTTTGTGCGAGGCATTAAAAATTGAAGGCTAA